TTTTTCTTTGCATTTATTGTATTTTCACAAACGTTTAATAATAAATACGGTGCTGAATTCCGAGATCAAATGGAAAGAACCTACTCCCCCAAGTTGTTATCTCCCTTTCATACAAGCAGGATGTGACGTCATTTGAGACGATTCCCGTACAACATGCATATTCATATTCAGTGTCAAGTAGAAACAAGATGGTTCAATGCGCAGCTCTAAATTGTGTGAATAATAGCAAATCCAGACAAATATTATTTTTTTCCCCACATTTCCAAAGGAACCTAAAAGGTGATTTGTATGGGCGATCAAATTAAAGAGAAGGAATTTATGACCGAGTCATTTCGAGCATGAAAGTTTTTCAAAAGACCCGAAACTCGTGCAAACTATTGGGTTTGAGCCAAAAACTTAGCTTAGGAAACCTGATGCAGTGCCGACTCTTTTGTGTTATTTTTCTACTATGACAACAAGACACGCCGGCCAGTTGTTGTCGACATAGGCCAGGGAAAAGAGCTATACAGAAGAAGAGAAAGCTTTAGGTAATAAGCATTTCTTTTAAATGGAGACTTGTTTCCCAAGTGTTTACATGACGATTTGACAAGAATCTGGATCAAATCAAGCTAGATAATCTGTTGTACAATGTGTTGATAATGCTAGATTTAAATGATGCAAACATATTACAGTTTAGAGTATACGAGTAGCCTATCCATCTCTCCTTGATATAGTGGGTATTTGATAACTCAAGGCATACACTGATGTAATTTGTCTTTATTGTGTCAGTATGTTCTTAATAAATGCCTTTTATTAAATCATATTGAAAATTCATTTATTAAAATTGACAATGATTTTATAATTTTCACTTGGATGTAATAAACCAAACTTTTAAAGATAATGAAATACATTTTGTTCTGCAACATAGATCACACACACACATAATATACAATACTTTAACATTCTCTCTATTCATCATGCATCAGTATCAGCATACAGTATGGAATAAATTATTGACAGTGTGCAATTTCCATTTCTTTATTAGCAACAAGGCGCACGAGGAGGTAGAAAAATTATCTGTAAAAGACTACTGCTCAAAGACATACAGAAACTGTCACCTGCTATATGATTCTAATAAAACTCATATTTTCAGATTATGTCCTGTTACGTGACAAGGGCTCGTACTCAGTAACAAGGAAAAGAGTGAAAGCCAACAAGCTTTGTATATTTTAACAAATTAATTTATTTCCTTAGCAATATAAAAATTCGTAAATAGGACTTACAATCTGTGAATATGATCCTAAATGTGATCCTAAGAATGAAAGCACAAGCTCTATAACTAAATAGTCCTTTAAGAATCCAGGTTCGAGTCTCGACGACGTACAAATATGGAAAGCGATGACGTCCAATGTATGAATAACAATAATTCCTCGCTTGAATCACAGTCTTTGTTTCCAAATAATTCCAGAATAAACTTCTATGAATTTATTTTAGATTTTTTTTTTTTTATAGAAAATTCAACTTGTTGAGTTTCCAGGGAAATAAATTATTAAATCCAAAAATCAGACGAAGAACAAACAATCTGGCAACAAATTAAAAATCACACCTTGTTCATTCAAGGTTTTGAATGACTGTCCGAAAAAAATATTACAATTGCGTATTTAGAACCCCAATGCCTTATTTGAAGTCTCGCGAGATTGGTCGTGTTCTCTTACTACACTATTTTTGTCACGTCCGCCAATATGAACCCACTTAAAAACCAATCATGAAAAGTTGTTTACAAACAGTGATCACGCAAAGATACCGACCAATCATTTTAATTTCCTGCTGACATTATTACCAGGGTAAGACGAACTCAATGATAATTCTCACGTAATACATCTTTGTCTGGAATAAACAAACTTTGTGATAAAAATATATCTCACTACTAAAAATAGAATATAGAATCCGAGATAAATATTCATTGCAATTAAATACAATGAAACAAAAATGAATTAAAAAATAAATATTAAACCTTACACACAAGCAATTTAATCACCTATACGTAACAGTCCAAAAACTGATGGAGGAGGTTGTAATGCGGCGAGAATTATACAGCACATATCGCACAGCACATGAAGTCAGGGCCTAGGAAATGAACCATCCACCAAGAGTTGTAACTTCTTCATACAGAAAGAATTTGGCTTTGATGATAAGGACTAAATAATTCAGTAGCACCGTCAACGTTTCAACACATGAACGTGTAATTTCAGCCAATAAAGTTTAAAACATCAGTAGCTTCTGATTTTTTTTTATTTTGCCTTTATACACATGTATTCACACACATTTCTAGAACTGTCATGAGTTTTCAGATTCGTCAGTTAGAAGCGAGAATACATGAATCATGTGAAGGTTTCAGATGAGAAGGTCTTGCGAATCGTGCTCACTACAGATGATGGTAATATTTTTATATTTCTTTTACCAAGCATCTTCCACACCCAGCGGACAAATCATCTATATGCTATGTGTCGGTAGACTCTGAAGGGACAAAATAATTTACTGAATAGTATAGTTATTACACATAATTTCACACCAATTAAATCACTGTATACATGGCTACATGGTATTTATTTTTAACAGATTGGTTTATGGTGCCTTGGAAGAGGTGGGGTGTAACATGTGCTCTCTCTCTCTCTCTCTCTCTCTCTCTCTCTCTCTCTCACACACACACACACACACACACACACACACACACACTTTCTCTTCCAAAAGCCATTGAGATTGGCAATAAATATTTCTTCGTGGTTGGCCATTGAAACACATTTGCTACACAAGCACCTTTGTGTATAAAAGGCTAAAATTATTTGAACAACTGTTGCCTGTTTGATATTTTAAATGTCCATTTCTTTGAAGAGCATTCATCCAATTATCACATGTACAAATCCATATCAATAACTGTTTGATTAATCCATGCTATAGAAAGTGAAAACCAATTTCCAGCCCCCACCAAACGAAAACAAAAATGGCAAGAAAAACTCTGATCTGTAATATTAAATTGTCTTGACTTAACATAAATTGAAAAGAAAGAAGAAAAAGAAATGTAGCAAAAATGAAATTTGGAACAAAAATCGTGATCGGTACAAAATTTTAAACCTCTCCCTACCCGGTTTATTGAATTAGATTTTGTACTGCTATTCATTTTGGTATTTAAAATTAAAGATAGTTTATAAATAATATTTAAAGATTTGTTCAGACTAAGATTACTTACCAATTTGCGTTTTAGAGCACCTGTGCTTCTTCTACACCAGACCGACGATACTACAAATCATCGTAATTGTCAGAAGCTGACGATTCATGTACATCTTTGTAACATGAATTTGTCTCCGGTTAATACATATAATGTTGGATGTTAATAAAATATTCTACTCCTGGATTGTCATCCACATTAGTGTCATCACTGATAGTCGACATAATTTAAACATTCAAGTAAAGCCATTTCATAGAACGCTTGACTGTATTATCAAGAATGCTGGTGTGTACATTGTCTCAACTGACGTCATATCCGCTAATTGTTGGGGGGGGGAGGGAAGCGCGTTAGTCTATTCAAGACGGATCAGGATAGATGATCGGTTTTTCATAAATTTCTTCGTAACGAGTAAGAAAGAAAGGTACAACTTTTCAGAAAATGAAACACACACACAAACACACACACGCACACACACACACACACACACACACACACACACACACACACATATATATATATATATATATATATATATATATATATATATATATATATATATATATATATATATATATACAAAATATACAAATTTCAGTTTTGTATGTTCGTCCCCTTTAAATATATGACTTTTTCACTAGAGGGGATCCGCGTAGCTAAGCGTTCTGAAGTGATCACTTTTACCGATCGCTACCATCTTAAATCTGTCCACATGGGTTAAAGTCTCGGGCTCAGCAATTTCGGGTGTGTGAGAAAGCTGCCAAGAGCTTCCTGTGAATCAATAGTTCATATCGGATTTTCACTTGTTCGTCCTCCACTAACTATACAGGCCGCCATGTATAACATATCTTGCTCTGTTAAATCTAAAACGCTTCTCTAGATTTCATGAACAATATGGTTGATGACATCTGTGTGTTGGTTACATCACGTTCCTAACTGACTGGACCTTAATTATTTATACTAAGTAATGAACTTAGTACACAAAAGAAGATACATACAGATGTATAGATACAATGAATTTCATACATATGAATGAATACATATGAATCATATGAATACATATGAATACATATGAATTTCGCACATATCAGTGTACAGGTGGTAAATATCCATAGCACGTCTATTGTTGACATTGGAAATGGCGAATGAAGTCTGTTTTTCACGACCTCGTTGCCCTTAGTTACCATCTGAATGATTTCGCTTTGAGCATCTTGTCTGCTCATCCTATGAAGACAGTGAACCAATCTACAAATCAAACTAATAGCATGAACATTGTGCAGTAAGAATTCATAATATTATGTACTCTGCATTCTGTATAGACTGGCAGTGTAAATTTTTGTTACCAAAAGTGTCTCCATAACAACAAAAATACCCCAAGCTTCTGATACTTTCATAATTTTTCTAATAGATTTAAACCGCTTATTATAGATTATATTCAATCAATAAAAAATATATAATTTGTCAGCTAGTTTACAACAACGTATGCATGATTTAGTTGGAAAATGCCTTAATTTTATGTCTTTAACGCACATCACAATGGGGCCTGCAAATACTTGGATAGCATAAGAAGTGTGCGTGTGTATTTTGGATTTTTAACGTAGCTTTAACACTCTTTAAGTCATATTGGTTCGGTGTCTGCAGCGTGGCACATTATAGTGATATCTAGCATTGGTGCATCATACCGCAGACATGTAGCATGATATTATTCTCACACCAGGCCAACCAGTCATAACACTACCTCTTAATGGTGAGCACCAAGCGAGGCAGCTGTTGGTACCATTTTTATAAGTCTTTGGTATGACTCGGCCGGGTTTCAAACCCGCTACCTACCGCATCCGAGGTGGCGCTATAACCACTTAAGCCACCGGAGCGGTCCAACCGCATAACGAGCGGATACATTTAAAGATGTCCGCTTAAGTCTTTAAGTATTGGATTGGGATCTAACGGAGGATACACTAAGGATCATACTCTTTGTTCATTTACTAAAGCCATGATAGGGGGACTAAGGGAGAAGGAAATAGACCATGAAATTTGTTCATTTACTAAAGTTTACTTATGTTTTACCAAAGTTTACGTCAGAAATGACGGTGTCAGATAAAATGCACATGATGCAACGGTTTGTTTGCACAGTGTCCTTTAACGCTACGTAATCTGTTTGCAGTGCATAGAAACAGCCAGTTGGGATGGCTTTACATGGTACACGGCAGACGGAATGCCCCCTTTGGACAAACCAATATGTGGATTCGAAGGAGAACATTGTCTTCCAGAAGTTAAAGGTACTTCAGGAAAATAATAAAAATTAATACTGACATTGTAAGCAGACTTTACATGTCTCTAATGTCGTATTTGTTTTAACCACATCGTGTCCATTTTAGACAAGATATATATATATATATATATATATATATATATATATATATATATATATATATATATATATATAGATATATACATACATACATACATACATACATACATACATACATACATACATACATACATACATACATACATTGATCGTTCTCTTTTAGTTCATTTTTGACGACACATTTGTCAAAAGGAGTAAATCCTTAATTGGTTCAGTGCATTGATATGAGTGTGCACTTTGTGTAAGGGATGGTTTATATAGCACAACAATTGCAACAATGTGTGCAAAAATGTATGGTGACATTAAAGTAATTGTTCTCTTCAGATTTATCAAAGAAACGATGTGGCAAATCATTCGGTTTTTGACAATCTTATGTCAGAATTATAGATAAAATAGTGTACAATCTGCGAACCAAAACGAACTTCTAGTAAGATTTATTCTCTCTCTCTCTCTCTCTCTCTCTCTCTCTCTCTCTCTCTCTCTCTCTCTCTCTCTCTCTCTCTCTCTCTCTCTCTCTCTCTCTCTCTCTCTCTTATATAAGAGAGTTTCTGGCTAAAGACCCTAATTTGAATCTGACGACAGCATGATTCTTCCTCCATATGACCCTCAAGTTAATTTAAGCAACTACAAAAACATCTTTTTTGAGGCAACAAAATTTATTTCTTAATCGATTACCAATACGAGGACATGTTACTGAATCGTCGCGTGAATCAAACAAAATTTGGATTTGATCCAGAAACACCCCTGATGTCAGACTACTTAAATATTTCACACAAAATTTTACTATGTAATTAATAGTAATTTTTATATCTGACATTTCACGCAAAATTGCAAGATTTCTCAAGATATTTTTAATGTTTCAATTTTTGCAATAATATAACTCTCATCGTCATGACAAAAGAAATACAAGTTAATTTTACCGCTGATAAGAGAATCATATTCTAACATTTTGATCAAGTTTCCATGAGAAACTATTGTTTTATTAATGTAAGTTTTTAAAACTCATAATCTACTGTAAGTTTTGTGTTTATTTGTTTTGAAATACTGGATTATAAAGATTGTCAAGTTTTAACAAGTTCTTTTATGACGATATCAAGTTTATCAAAATATTCCGATTAATCATTGCAAACTAGAGACAACTTTATCATGTTTCAATTGTTGACGTACGTGCTATACTTCGTTGTCAAGTATAATCGTGATATACTTACCCTAAAATAGATTTTTTTCGTCTTTAACGTGGTGTCTTCCACAGTAATATCTTCCAATATATTTCATATTTCACACAAAATTTAGCGAATACTGTTTTTCATATTTCACTATTAATATCAACAAATAAATCGTTTTTGAAGTTCTTGCATCAGATCTAGCATGATAAATTTTTAACCTCGGAGATAAGCTCAAAGATGATTCAATATTTTGTTATTAGGCTGTTGCTATCTTGCAAGACATGTTCTTGTTCTCATATTTTTGCTAAGTTCTTTTATTGTCGATAACGCGAACCCCGTACTACCTATATACCAAAACAATCAAATCTTTTATACTTTTATATTTTGTTTCTGTCAGCAGCTTTCCGGCTTCCTGTTTTTAATGAAATTTGCCTTCAAGATCATAATCAACAGGTTTAATAGCATTACTAATATTGGTTATGTTATCGAGTGTTTGATAAAATAGGTCTCGTTCAGTATCGCTGTAAGATTCAATCTCTGACTCAGTTGCGTGTATTGTTTTCAGTGCCACATTTATGCAGAAAAATTTTCTTTGATAATCGCTGTTTGTCAGAGAATCTATTAATATCAGATATGCTGTCTTTAATAGATCGACGTAATCATGATTATATGCTACCTGGAATATCGAATAACGTTTTTTTTGTTAGGATGGTCCATACCCAACTCACAAAATATTTTTCGTTTAACAAAATTATCTCTTATTCTGCGATTTTTTTTGGAGTCAAATTGTTTAGTTCTGCTAGTCCGTCAAGTTCATTATGAACTTTTTTTATTCTATCTTATTCATGTTTCTTACAACCATGATGTTTTGTTTTTACGAGTTCAGAGCTGTTGATCGTCGTAAATGTTTCATTCTTAATCTGGAACAACGTCTTTGTCAACAGCGACTCAGCTCGTAATCGTTGTTCCTCGCAAACGTTTGGATGACAATACTTGCTAATGATATCAAAATCTTGGATTGCTGTTTTTATCTGTGTACCTCGCATTCCAGCAACTTTAACAAAGTTGTCTTCGTTGACTTGTAGATTAGGTTATTTGAGTGTTAAACTTTTCATTCTATCGATTTCATTAACTGCTTGAGTTTCTCTAGCACTTTCGGGGTCTAGCTGATCAACGTCAGCTATTTCTATTTTTGTTTCAGGGTAAAATATGGTGTTGCAAAGCTCTTTTGTAACTCTGATTGACGGAGGGTCAACATACACTTACAAATCAATTCATATTAAAGTGAATCGCATAGCGATCCTTGTTAATACAACATCTACACTAAATCGTAACGACCTAGACTAAATCATCAATCGTGTACAGCTAAAACACTGTCAAACAGGGTAAGGACTTTCTGCATTGACAACATATATGCAAAAATTAATATACTTGTTAACAGTGTTAGCATCAACGATAGTAAACTATTGACCTGTTTAAATATAAAAACCCGTTGAGCTGTACAGAGTTGTCCATGTGGTATTATCTGTTAATCCCTCTAATCTCCAGTTGTATATTCGGCCGACACCAGCATTTAATGGTCCTCCTAAATTAAGCTTCTAAATTGCAACAGTATCATGACAATGAATTTTTTTTCCAAAAACTTAGTTGTTTCTCCACCATGAAAACGATACTTCCAGACATATCAACCATACTAACAAATATTCTAATTTGACAAAAGAAGAAACAGATGTCTTGCACTCACTGAAAAGCAGAACAGACATTATAATTAAGCCTGCAGATAAGGGTTCCGCTGTTGTCGTTATGAATAGGGAAGACTACATTAGTGAAGCAAGTAGGCAACTAAGTGACGCTAGGTTCTACCAAAAACTGGACCATGATCCAACGCTGGAATATGCAAAAATCATCACTAATGTTATTGACGAGGCGTACAAAAGCGGACGCATAGACCAGCAAACGAAAAACTACTTAAGGCCAGAAAACCCAAGAGCAGGTAGATTTTATCTTCTACCCCAAATGCACAAACAAGGAAACCCTGGCAGACCTATAATCTCAGGTAACGGGCACCCCACAGAAAGGATATCAGAATATTTAGATCATTTTATGAGACCACATGTCCACAAATTACCATCATATCTTCAAGACACGACAGATTATCTCATAAAAAGCAAAGCTAGTGAACCATTACTGCCAGATACATTACTTGCTTCCTTAGACGTCACATCTTTGTACACCAACATACCGCACAACGAAGGGTTACAGGCATGTAGCGAAGCATGGGAAACAAGAACTGTAAACAATCCACCCACACACTTCTTAGTCCAACTCCTGGAGCTTGTCCTAAAACTTAACAACTTTGAATTTAATGAAGAAAATTACCTACAAATCCATGGAACTGCAATGGGTACTAAAATGGCCCCTTCGTATGCTAACATTTTCATGGGAAAACTTGAGGGTCAGCTCTTAGCATCGGTTGAGCGTACACCATAGCAGTGGGTACGCTTTATCGATCATATAGAAATGAAGTGGCAGTATGGAAGAGAAAGTCTGGATGACTTCATATCAAAGGCAAACAACTTCCATCCTTCAATAAAATTCACGACAGAAATTTCCAACTCAAACCATGTTTTCCTGGGCACAAAAACCAGACTGGTGGAAAACAAATTACACACAGACATCTACTCGAAACTAACCGACAAACACCAGTATCTCCTCCCAACCAGCTGTCATCCAAAACACTGCATTAAGAACATTCCATATAGCCAGGCACTGAGGATACGCAGAATTTGCTCCGACGATGAAAGATTCCTAGAAAGGTCTGAAGAGCTGGCTAAACATTTAATTTACCGAGGCTACGACCAAGACCTGATTGCGGAGGCAATCCAAAGGGCCAAACAAACAAACTGTGATGACCTACTCAGATATGGACAGAAAGAAAAGGTTGATAGGATACCATTTATTCTGACCTATCACCCAGACAATCCCAAAGTAGGTAAAATCATCGCAAACCACTGACTAACCGTGCAATCGTCAGACATACTAAACCTAATACTTCCGAACAAACCTGTAGTAGCTTACCGGAGACCAAAAAACCTAAAGGACATCCTAGTCAGGGCAAAGCTAACGCCAATCGCTAGTCAAAACCAACCTAGTCAATCTGGACCCTGTGGCGATAAAAGATGCAAAACCTGTCAACATATGATAGAGACCAAGACATTCACTAGCACAGTGACTAAAGAAAAACTAAAAATGCATGGTCCAAACAAAACGTGCAAAACAGAGAATGTGATCACATGTAAGATCTGTGGCCTTCAGTACGTGGGAGAAACTGAAAAGCTACA